TCTTTTCTTTATGAAAAGATATTAGACTTGTCGTAAAATGCACAAAAACTAATCATTTTATGAAGCGCCATGTATAGTGTTCTAGGCACATAACTTGGTTTCATAAATTACAACATCAACGCTAAAAGTGCAAGACACACATCGAAATCATGCATTTATTTCTAGCGCATTTTAAATGAGGATTCATATCAATGCCAAGCCGACACGCATATTATGGCATTTATATTAGATTTTATTACATTGCATGATATATGAAATATCACCTCGTGTGATATCTAATTTTTCCTTGTTGTTAAAATCCCTATAATCCTATTCACTAAAATGTCACTACATACGTTTGAAATCGCTCAAACGACTTTGAATAGCTCTTTTTGGTATCTTTGCCAACTATGATTGATTACGCCTTATATCACGTACTAAAACGAGACAAAGGACAGATGGCGGTAAACCCCTCTTTTAGCCCCCCTACAAAACAAGTATATATTGACATGGAATTGAGGTGGAAGTATGACTTATTACTTAAAATGTGATTTCTGAGAATTTAGACATTTGACCTTGACATTAGGGTGGTTTAAAGGTCAACTTTGAAAGATGCTATTTTTGTCAAAATTTTGCCGTTTTCTTATACAAGAAATGAAAGCAATTGGCTTAATTTTGATTTTGACTGATAATAAGACATGTGAATGGAAATAAAAATATTTTTAATAAATTCTCATGGGCAATTACATGAAAATCTTGAGAATTAATCCCCATATGGGCATTTTGGGGGGACTAAATTTTCCCGTTTCAAAAATAAATGTTCTTGTTGCCTTTTGAAACTCTAACAGTATCCTAATATATGCATGTTTTAAGAGTTGGGATGTGATTATTATTTTAAATGCCCATGACATGGGCCCATTGGCATTTTTTTTTTTTTTTTTTAACATATTATTTATTTCCTTCATAAACAAAAAAATACACAAAATATCTACTACCAATCGCCATAGGCATTCTAGGTAGTTTAAATTACAATAGAGGATTAATTACAGTAATCATAGATGGTTTATTGGTAATGTGAGAGGTTGGGAGGGGGGGGGGGTTGTCACAAGATACAAATGAGAAAAACATTAATTTGATGGAAACTTATAACAGGCCTGTACAAATTGCATCACTATATCTATCAGGATTTTCTGAGAATCAATAGTGAGTTCATTTTCATAAATTAAGTATTTGACCTGTTCTGTCTTACTAGAAATAAGTTGAGTATCAAACAATAAATTTTGTTCACGAAGTGCAGTCATCATTTTATTACGTTCATGGGTATGGCGAGGGCAGGTTAGAATGAAATGCTTTGTGTCTTCAGTAGAGCCACAGAGGCATTTGTTGTCAATTATTCCAGTAAAATTATGAGTAAAGAAATGGTCTTTAAGGGCAAAATCAACTCGAAGCCTATTTAGCAGTTTTTCGTTGGTTCTACTTAAATTTAGTTTTGTAGTTGGTATGAAGTTTGAAATAGGGATAAATATCTGTTTAATAGAGCTTTTGAATCTAGAAATGGTTTGAATTTCACGAAAAGTCTGGCTTAGTTGGTTCCAATCATTTATAAGTTTTAAAACTGGTGCTTTGGAGAGTCTCATTGAAATATTTCTTGGGCAGGAAAAGGGTAAAGAGTGTCTTAAAATTCTAGTTGCTTGGTTGCGATGTTGGTCAAAAAGACTATGGACATAATAAGGCACTTCCTTTCTTACAATTTTGAACATCAGTCTTAGATTTTTTTCGTGTCTTTTGTCAGTAAGCGATTTCCACTGTAAACATTTTAAAGTTTTTGAGGTGTTAGAGCCATGCAGTACCCCAGCACATATAACAGCAGCTTGGTAGTGGATTTTATCAAGCTTTGACAAGGCCGCCAAGGATGACGATCCGTAAATGGAGCTACAATAGTCAAAATGAGACGCCAAATATGAATTATACATTATTTCAAGATGGTGCGATTGTATTTTGTTTGATATGAGCTTCAAAGGATTTAACAGTTTTTGAACTTTATTAGACAGATAGTTTATATGGTCATTAAAAGTCAAATTCTCATCTAAGATGAAACCCAGGTGCTTGTGTGATTGCTTTTGGGGGATCATTTCACCATCAAAGTAAAGCGGAGACATTTGAATATTTTTTAGTCGGGTTGAGCGAAAAACTAAATGAGCACTTTTAGATGCTTTAAATTTCAATTGCCAGGTTCTAGACCATGCACTTAGAAGATTTAGGTCATTTTGGAGTTGGCCAGTTTGATTACCAGAAGGGTGAAAGAAAGAGTATAAGGAGGTATCATCTGCATAGATAAAAGTTTTCGAGGTCAGAGTGTCAGGGAGGTCATTTATGTATATCAGAAACATCAGGGGTCCGATTATGGAGCCCTGAGGCACACCGGAGTTTATGAAGTGGTCAGGAGAGAAGTTTGATGTGTGATCATCTACAGTGACACAGACTTTTCGATTTTCTAAGTAAGAAGAGCAGAGGTCGGCTAATTTACCTTGAATTCCATATGATTTCATCTTGTGAATGAGTAAGTTATGCGGTACAGTATCAAAAGCAGACGCCACGTCTAAATAAACAGAATTAACACAGTTACCTTTTTCCATTTCGTTAAAGATATAATCAGTTATTGCTAAAAGTTGTAGCTCAGTGTTGTGTCCTGGAAGAAATCCAGATTGAAATTGATAAAGAAGGTTATTTTCAAGTAGATGCGTTAGAATGCGATTATGCACAACTTTTTCAAAAATTTTGGAAAAAGTGCTTAGCAAAGTAATCGGTCTATAATTCTCAACTTGAGATCTATCAGACTTCTTATAAATTGGAGAAATGTTTCCAAGTTTCCAGCAACTGGGAAATTGGCCACATGCAAAAATCATGTTAAACAATTTTGATAACTGGAAGGATAATGCTTCCTGGGCTATTTTTGTCATTCTGTTATTAATTTTGTCAAGACCACAGGCTTTATCGCGATCAAAGGACTGGATTATTTGAAGAATTTCATCTGGATTGGTAGATAAATGGTCAATTGATATTCCAGTTCTATTTGGAAAATGTGGAAGTGCATCGTTATCCACTTGGTTTAAATTATGATATTTTGAAGAAAAAAAGTTAAGGAAACACTCAGCTTTTTCACCCTCAGTTGTAGCTATGTGATCTGAAAAATTGCACTTCAAACTAGGGAGTAAAGCATGAAAAGTTCTGGATAGAAAAGAATTGACTATGTTCCAGTATTGTTTTCCTTTACAGGTTGATTCATTAATCTGTTTTACAATATTTTCCTGGTAATTTAATTTTGCCTCTTTTATTAAGGATTTGACCTTTTCAGCTTGAGCAGTGTAGTTGTCAAAAATAGTTGTGTCATTTTTTGATTTGGTTTTCCGATAAAGTCGTTCTTTCTTATTGGTTTAATTTTTGAGTTCATCCAAGGTTGATCATTTGCATTTAAAATTGTTGTTTTTTGAGGAATGTATTTTGAAAATATGTCAAAAATATGACAAGAAAAGCTTTCAGTTGTAACATTAATGTCTCTATTACTCTGATTATATAGTTCAGTCAGGTCAAAATTACGAATGTTGGAATTTATACCCTCAATATCAGCCTGGTCATATTTCCAAATGGTTTTCTTTAATTTGTGTCTCTTACTGAGTTTTAACGGAAGAGTGGTCAAAATAGTAGAGTGGTCGGTATTACCAATAGGGTCAGAAACAACCAATTCCCTTACGAGAAAAGGCTTGTTTGTAATAGAAAGGTCAATGCAGGTTCTTGAGTTTCTTGTTATTCTGGTAGGCTCTTTTACTAACTGGATAAGATTTAAGTTTGATAAAATAGAGTCAAGTTTATTGCCTCTCGAGTCAGTAGTACCTTCAGGCCACCATTTTTGATGTTTGGAATTGAAATCACCATTTATAATTAGGTGGTCACATTTTATCTTGGATGCTTTGGAGAGATTTTCCCTTAGATGGTCAAAATAAGCATTTTCCTCATTTACATTCATACTAGGAGAGCGATAATGTACACCAAATAGTATTGAAGTATTTCTAATTTTGATATTAACCCAAAGACTGTTATCAGTATTCAAATCCGGCATGGGAATGTAGGTAAGGTCAGATTTAATGTATATCATGGGCCCTCTACCCCCTTGATGATAAAGGGGAGAGTGATAGTCAGGAAGTAAGTAGTTTTCAGAAATAATCTTGTCATTCAGATTGCCTACTTCACAGAGTCCAGCTACCGATACCCCATGTTTTCTTAATCTATGTTTAAAACTTTCAAACCTGATACCTTCCCCACTGCTTATGCTGTTAATGTTTGAGAAAAGAAACTTGAGATCATGCTGCATGGTACATGTAGAGTGAGGACCAGGATGAGTTTCAATGTCGCCGGCCTGCAAGATTAAATCACTTTGGTCAAAAATGTAGACTGAAGTTTGAAAAATCAAAACAGTGAGTGTGAAATTGTCAAAAATATTTGCATATTTTACATTGCCTATAAGCTTCATAAGCATTTGCATTGACATAATTAATGTAACAAACATGACTGTTAACAAGTAGATTATGACCACAATAGCCATGAGCCTAGTAAATTCATTAAAAAGCTTATTGTAATTATTTGTCAAATCAATGCAGGAAATTATATCTAAGGTGAATAGAATAAGGTATATAAGCATTAAGACTGTTACAAAACTTGGACTTGACATTTGCCTCTTAGTACCATTGTTTTTGATTCTCAAACCTGGTATTTTGATTCTCGAGTTAAAAATTCCAATTCTGCTTCGCCACGACTGAATGTCGACTGCACCCATTAACCTATGCCTGACTTGACTGCACTGTTGGTTAACTGAAAGGTATATATGCTAGTAACAAATGGTAAAAAGCTAAGTAAGCAGTATTTAGAAAAGTAAAAGTAATCCCCATCCCCAACCCAACCTCTATGATTGATAATTTCCAAAAGTATGCACACATGTAGTGTGTGCATGACAATAGGGAATATGGGTACATTACACATGGTGTTATGCAACAAAGGTTTTTTTGATGCAAAGATATAGGAAGTACAACTCAGTTATGGAATCATAATTTCAGTAGCAAAGTACCAATTTCAGGATAAAAAGTAGCCTGGTAGCCAGCAAAATGGACTACATGACACATGAAATACAGTGGGCAGCAATATTAAAACAAAAACAGTAATACATGGCAACAATACAAAACTTGCTTGTGATTCATCATAATCATAGTGTATGCTTGCAAGCTACTGTAACATTTATACATTACAGTATATAGACTCTAATAGAGTAATACATACTGGAGAAAAATAAATCATAAATAGTAAAATGTTAGTCAGGCTCGTATATAAAATTCGAAAAACGAACTTCTCCAGTAGTTCTATTTACAAAGGTGTTCGTTGAGAACAGCATTATATACAGAAGGAAAAAGAACTCACCGTGTTTTTAGATTCAAAAGACAAAAACGTGAAATATAAATTTGATAAAAGCACACTTCCGGTTTCCGGAAGGTCAAATAGTCACGTGACAGAGAGATGTAAACAAAAAAACTGGAGAAAATCGTCAAGTTTAGCACGAGCAGCAGCTCATTAAGACGTTCATTTGTCAGTGAGAAAAGTTATGTTCGGTTATTTTAGGAAACTATATTGATAGTTTATACATTGATGTTACTTTCTGCATGGAGACCAGCGTTTTCTATAACTTAAATCAACAAGGGTAACAGTGGTGAGTGAGGGAATGTTCACGAGAAAGTTATGGCAATCGTCCAAGCACACCAAGGTAATTAAGACCTGGCAATGACAGAGTCAATGTTATCGTTGATTGAGAATACTTTGATTGTACCAGATTTGAGTTTACCATACACTTTCATGTTATTGTACCATGCTTGATCAATATCGTTGTGCTGCTTGACTTCTTTCAGTAGTACTCTGTTTCTCGGACTGAGATCATGGTAAATTCTCACATTGGTGCCTTTTAGGTGGCGCTTGTTTGACATTACTTTGTCCTTAACAAGTCGGTCAAAGAATTTGGCTATGATTTGTCGTGGCTTCCCATCTCTTCCAGGCAAACGGTGGGCAATTTCAATGTGGTCAGGTTCAATCATAGCTCCTGCTGGCAGGTGATCATTTAGGGTTTTACAGAGAGTGTCAATACACTTTTCAACAGACTCATTTTTGTCATCAGCAATCCCAACGGCACGTAATGTGGATTTCCTGCTGTATTGAGCATTATGATTTACCTCAAGGGCTAGCTGATCTTGCTTAACAGTCATATCAGTATGGGATTTCTCCAATATCATGATTCTGGACTTCAGAGTGTCATTTTCTTCACGAAGTTGTTTTAGATCAGTAGATAGCTTTATCGTGGATTTTTCAATTTCATGCTTCACCATATCACGCATTTGAGACATTATCTGGGTGTTATTTTCATTAAGTAATGTTCTCATAACGGTAGTAAGAGAGAGGATAGTTACCGGTTGCTCAGAATCCATATCATGTGGATCGTCTGTGGTGCATGTACCTGAGGATGCTTCATCAAGAGCTTTCTCAAAAACGTCATCGTACGGTACTGGCGAAGTTTCACTGTCCTTACTTGGGAACCCCGCTTCTCGTCTATTTCGCTTCACGGGTATAGTTATCGAGGATGGCTTATCAAAGTCCTGTGCAAGTTGTCCACCATCTTGGTTTTTATCAGCACGAATTTTGACGAAGTCGGTAATCGCCGGTTGGTTGTCCTGTAGTCTGGACATGGTCTCAACTAATCCGCTGTATATCGTCTATAGATATTTATAAATGTTTTAGATTACGATAAATCGGCACAAATGTAGATATTATCACGTAAACTGAGTAATTACTCCTAGTCTTTTACAACGTGTTATTTGTTCTTGGCGCCCATTGGCATCTACATTGGAATTTGAAATTAAATGTCTTAGTTTTAAAGTTTTTTGCCAACTTGCAGTTCCAATATTTGAATTTCAATATATATCATCATATAAAGCAGCATCATGTTTAAATGGCATGACACTCAGAAGATTGCCTAAAATAATTTCTACTTATTCCCTATTTAGAAAAACACTTAGACCATTCAAAAAAACTACATGTACATAGGCTTTAGTATTGTTTTCATTGACAAGGTCATCTGAATCAAGAGGTGTTACTTGTTTTTCCACTATGTGTTATTGCATTTTCACTATTAAATAATATATAAAACCCTTTAAATAAATAAAGGTTTTATAGTTTTTAATATAAGCCCCTTCATCAGAATGCCAACATATAATTAATTTTGAATGGCCTAATCTGTACATGCAGTTATGTAGTGTACATGCAATCAGTTTTGAAAGTAAATGGAAGAATGAGTTTTTTGGAAAACGTTTAAGTTGACCAATAGTCTGTTAAATGGACCTGTTCTTTAGTACGTTTTCGTGTCGGCTGCCCAAATACTCCTATTATCGCCCAAAACCATGACAAGTTTAAGTCTGTCATAATGTCAATCAAAAGATTGAACAATCTAGCAGTACGTCTGTCCATCTTGTATTTTTCCTTTAATGACATGTGAACATGTGAGATGATCTATCCAATTACAGCCCATCATTATATTTTGAGATGTGATAATATCATGTAATAATGCTAAATTATTCTATAAATATATAGTAGCCGGGACTGAACAAGTAATTTCTTTATCTTTTCTTGATAACCTTTTCAATTCTTCCTCATAATCACAAAGGGTATACTATTGGAACAATTAGAAGAATGTACATTTATGCTATTTTTCATGAATCTTCTCATTCTTACATTGATGAAATCGGTGAAATCAATTTAGGTTGGATTTGTAGTTTATGATATACAGCATTCAAGAAGCAATCCATGAATTAAACCATATCTCAAAAGTAAGATATATTCAATACAAAGAAGTTATTCACCAGGAGGCATTTGATATGGGGAATATCACAAGGATGATATCAATATGACCCGAGAGAACGCAGTGACCGAGGGAAATATCGATATCGTCCGAGAGATATTCCCAATATCATCCCGACAGTTGAATAACGACCTTATACCATGGTCAAGAGCAATATCTACCTCAAACACCATATCTGTTTGATGAAAAAGCAATAAATTAATTTTTGGAAATATAAACGTTACAGGATTTTCATATCATGTCTGTCAAAACAGAAAAAATGCCGTTTGAAATTGGTGATTTAATAGATGACGTGAATTTGAAACGAAACAAACGAAGTCTCAAAGATAGCCCCAGGCGGGATGATATAAGAACATATACCTACGCGATAACGTTTAGTTTTAGTTCAGTTTAGTTACCTCCCGTTTGAAGAGCTTTCATGTATGGTACAACTTTGTCTACCTCCGGGTTCTTTCCCATTCTTTCAATGCCGCACTGCGACTCTCTATAAACATTTATGTAGAGTTGCATTTGCACAAATGATAGGTATGTATGTAATTAAGATATATTACAAGGCTTTTTGAACTGTTATCTCCAAATCCGAAGAAATCTGTTGTTGAAAATGCCGTCCGATTCCAGTGACGTCACTGATTTCCCATAAATTGTTCAGACTTCATCGAAGATCGAAAAATATGAATAACGTTACTTTGAATCTCCGATTATCTTTCTGATTATTGAATAAATTGGATCATATAACTATGCTTGAGGGCTGATGGAAGATCAAAAGCTGAGAAACGTTCACAGTATTCGACTCGTTCGGCGGGCCAATGAAAATTTGTCCCTTCCAAAGCGATGCATCATGGGAGATATTTATGTACACCACATGAACTCTTATCCCGAAAAGAAGTATTATCGGGTGATATCGGGTTTGATATCGATATCATCCCGCTAATTTCAACAACATCCCTGATATCATCCCTATTCAAACATGTGATTTATATCACTCGGTCTTATTGCTCTGACCATGGTATATAAACGGATTTATTTTAGGGCCAAACGTACGTCCAACATACAATTTTCATTAACCCTAGAAGCCCTAAGGGGGGGGGGGTAAAATTACCCCCCCTTATTAAATTTTTTCCTTACTATTACAACTTTTTATTCACATTCACTTCACATTTTCAGTAGCTGAAGCTAAAGATATAACAAATGTTTTCTGAAAAATCAGCAAAATTGTACATAGGGTGATTGATTTATTATGATGTAATCATCAGCTGCAATAGACAAAATCGGAAAAAGCTAGCACTATTTCTACCATATGTGTTATCTTTAGAATAAGATTACACAATCTCCCATCATGTTGTTAAAGTTATTACACTAAGTTGTAGATAATTGAATGAAGTATATTTTGGAAAAGTTTGAAAATCCTATCTTCACTAATTTGTTATAAATTTATTATGATGTAATCATCAGCTCCAATAGACAAAATCAGAAAAAAGCTAGGACTAATTCTACCATATGTGTTGTCTTAAGAATAAAATTACGCAATATTACATCATCATTATAGTTGTTAAAGTTCTTACACCAAGTTGTAGATAATTGAATGAAGTATATGTTGAAAAAGTTTGAACATCCTAGCCCTACTAATAAAAATTTTACATTTTGACCCTCCCCCCTTAGATGTTCGCGTGACTATTTTTACCCTAGGGCTTCTAGGGTTAACACTAAAAATAGCAATAAAATAAAGAAAATAAGATTACATTCTTCAAATGACATATAAAATATAACTTTGATATACGAATCCTGTCTCTGCCAATCATTAGATAATTTACCATGTCAGCAGATTCTTTTAATATGTTCCCCTAACTCGTCAATAGAAAATTGTCTTTTGATGGTCATTCATGATTTTAAAGTTACTACACAGATTTGAATAAAAACTGTGTTTCATCTTCTATAACCGAGTCCTTACATATTTTACAAAATCGACTATTTCGATCAGTAATGGGTCTCATATATCGGCCTCTATCTCAAGATTGCGTGCGCTTAAACGTAATCTAATGAGATGTTTAGCATTTGAAAATGTCGTTTCTGAAAGATATTGTTCAAATCCAAAGTGCGTTTTAGTTGTTTAAATAATCTGAGTTTCCTCTATACTCTAGTAGCTCATGCTGGTTGAGTATGCACTTCTATGTCCAGAGATTTTCTCTTCAGAAATTATCTATGTGAAGGTCATTGATCAATTTTGGCTTGGTAACATATTTGCCACAGAAGGCGAAATAGGTCAAATGGATTCAAATATTACAATAAATATGAGTATTGAAATACACAATGCATATGGTTGAAGACAAATATTACAATAAATACATATATTGCACTAAATGTGAAATGCATATTGCATAATAATTACATATATTGCACTAAATGTAAGTAGTATGTTGCATATGGTCAAATATTACAATTAATATGAATATTGCGCTAAATGTGAAATACATAATGCATATGGTTGAAGACAAATATTACTATAAATACATATATTGCACTAAATGTGAGATGCATATTGAATAATAAATACATATATTGCACTAAATGGAGCATTCCTTGTAGATACTAGATGTGGTACTCATAAAAGAATGAACATACGGAGCACGCGTGTCTCAAACTCACAACCTCGTGGTTTAGGGTACCCATTCACCTAAGACCTCTTGGCCAACTCAACAACCAAAAAAGTTTGTTTCCTTCGCTGATCTGACTAGATAGAGGCTGCGGATTCAGTCTTAAATGATGCAGGATAGATGAAAACTGTCGTGCGTAACATGCTAAAATCAGCTTTTGGCAAATATCTTGAGAACCATTGACTTTTTGAAATACATATGTATTATTGACCCCCTATAATGTGGCCATTCCGGACATTTTGAGTGGTCAAACAACCTTGTATGTCCAACGGTTCCGGAGATGCAAAAATGGGGGGGGGGGGAGTATTCGCGTAAAAAAAGGGCGTGGCGATTTGACCTATTTCGCCTTCTGTGGCAAATATGTTACCAAGCCAAAATTGATCAATGACCTTCACATAGATGATTTCTGAAGAGAAAATCTCTGGACATAGAAGTGCATACTCAACCAGCATGAGCTACTAGAGTACTATAAGTTTCCCCTGGTATAAAACAAGGTATTCAATACTATGTTTGAAGATGTGTCAAATCATTTGACAGTCTAGCAACAGAATTAGTATCTAAGCAGAATATGATCATCATATTTAAAAAGTTGAAACTTTGATGAAAATTGATAATATTAAAACCATACATTAAGTGTATATTAGTGTAAATGACGTCACTACCGGTGAATACACTCTTCACACATTTCTGAGTCTGTGTATTTTTTCTCACACGGTATCTATAATTGATCAATGAGAGAACGAGTATCACGGCTTGGAAATAATAAGGAAAAGTATTTTTGCTTGGAAATGGATTAATTCGTGACTTTTACATTGATATTTATTATTTTGACATAATGTCTTGAATTCCAAAATGCACACATAATATGAGACCAATCTTTTACATATTCATGGCACTAGCAGAGGATACCCTAAAGTACCTCAAGTAAAGCTTTCAAATAATTTGGCTCATCAATTGCTGGGAAATTACTGGTCAATTTTCTTCCCATTTTTTGGGTTCAAACGCATGAATTCTCATTGCGTTGGTCCGATATGAGATCTTTTGACATGCTATCTTGAATTTCTTACTATCCTAATCTTATTCATATTTATAAACCTTGCTAACGATACTCTTGGGCTACTTTGTAAGACATTTTAGAGAAAATACTTGTTAAGAAGTGTCTCAATTTTGAGACACAAGATATATGGCGATGGCTGTCTTATCACACAACTTTTATTAGTCTATATAGGATAGGTAATTTTATCATTCTATACAATAGGATGTTATCATTTCAACCACTCCCATTTCTGGAAATTTATAAATCGACTGATTTATACGATTTCT